GTACTTTTTGTTTTAATACTGTTTTGATATCAAGATGAAGAAGATTTTTGTAACTGTGGACTGGTACTGGTACAAATAAGCTAAGTGCTATTACACGTAGCCCTAAGCTAGATAGGTGTTTTTCGGTTAAAACTTGTACTTATGGTTTTGATAAGAAATGATAAAAAGTAAATTATTATGTTTTCGGCTTACTCACGTAATAATTTGACGAGGAACTACTACCAGTAGCAGTGCGACAGTCGCCGCGTCGCGAGTCGCGAAATGCTGCTCATGAATATGAGCCTCTAGCATGCCTTGAAACTAGTCGAGTTCCTCGTCAAATTACTACGTGAGTAAGCCGAAAACATAATAATTTATTTAGTACGTCTCACGAAAGTTACAATACAAATAATAAAAAGTAATATGAAGCTAAGTAGTTTACAAGTGTGTTGATTTTATACATGATCTGATCTGTTTTCAACCAGCAGTTTGGAATCAAGGTCATTCGTTGACCTTGCTCATTGAACGTAAACTAATTAATCATTACGACTGATGTTTGGGTGAGTCATCGATGTTGTTACGTATTGTTTCATATAACTGGAGACCTATATTCACGAACTTAGTTCTAAAATTAATAAACCCAGTCCTAGAACCGATCTAAGCTTTTAGTAAAAATTCATCACTAAATCAATTCAAATATTTTGAAATAGCGACCCGCCCCGGCTTCGCACGGGTGCTTTATGCATGTATTATACACTCATATAAACCTTCCTTAATCACTTTATCTATTAAAAAAACCGCATCAAAATCTGTTGCGTAGTTTTAAAGATCTAAGCATACATAGGGACAGACCGATGGCGGATAGCGAGAGCGACTTTGTTTTATTTACTATGAGAAGAAACTAAGAACAGTTATTACTCCCGATTCCCGGGGCGGGCAAAGTATTACAGGATATAAAAAAAATTCTGTAGTAGCACGGAATCTGGAACTGTAAAGTATGTGGCAATAGGCACACCTCAATTACATGGGACTCATAAAATAAATAGTGAAAAGTAAGTGTAACATTGTACATTGGCATTAAGTGTCGTAATGTGCGCCTCTGCCTACCTCTTCTGATCATTGCGATGTTATGTTACGTAACAGTTATTAATTTTGGCCATACGAGTACCTAAGTCTGGGTGCCTTTTTTGAGGAGGGACTAAATACCACCCCGTTCTTACTACTGCTTTTCGAGCCGGTACCCTGGCAATACGTTAACTCCTTCACGGTCCAAGTCTAAATAACATCTAAATAAAACAGCATTAGAAAAATCAAAAAAAATATCCGACTTCCATGCTTACATTTCGAAGCCACCTAATGATTTCCACGTGCTGTCTACCGAACTTCACGCCGTCCACTTAATGGATTATCTATACGATATTCAAGTGATCCTTAAGATTGGAACTCTTCAAAGTTTTATAAGCCGTGATGATGTCCTCTTGACCGACTATTGAAGTGGATTAGGTTAAGAATAAATGGTTTCACGTGCTTGCTGGGTACATACACAGAGGCATCGTGTCCTTAGGCATCGTCCCTTAGAACTGGGTCATTAAATGAATATTTGTATACAGATGTTACTCGCTGCTTCACTCACCTGCGTGTTCAAAGGAAAAGAATAGTGGCCGTATCATTTATTTTCTATGGCATAAGCCGGTAAACAAGCAGACGGATCATCTGATTGTAAGCAATCGGCGTCGCCTATGGACGCGTGGAACACCAGAGGCGTTACAAGTGCGTTGCCGACCTTTTGGGGATTAGGAGTTTGAAGATCGTTGGGGATTCAGGAATTGGGGAGATTGGGGAAGGAGAAGGTAATTGGGCCTCCGGTAACCTCACTCACACGACGAAACACAACGCAAGCGTTGCTTCACGTCGGTTTTCTGTGAGGCCGTGGTATCACTCTGGTCGAGCCGGCCCATTCTTGCCGAAGCATGACTCTTCCACACTACATAAAACCTCAGTGGCAATGTCACTGAATAAGAGAGTCACTGGATGAGGAAACGACTGATTAGATCGGATTATGAATTACTACTGTTTGTCTCACGGGATGACAGGCAATGCCCTGGGTGGTCACACACACATGCATAAAGGGCATTTTTTTTTTAAGGGGGGAAAATCATCGAATGACTGCTCCCGCCTGGGTGAGGCGGAAGGGAGTGTCAGACTCTTACTGACTTAAAACCACCCCGTTCCTTCCTGCACGTCGAGCCGGAGCCCCGGTTACCCGTTAGGTTCTCCGCGACACACACATATGCTTAAAGTGCATACAATGTATAACAAAGCGTTGGACAAAGGTCTCCTTCAAAATCTTCCAGTCTAGTCGCTAGAAGCAAAGTTTATTGTCTTCATATATCATCGGAAATTGTTGCTTGCTCTAAAATGAATTTCAAAAACGAACATCTCAACAATTCTTGATTTGATCCAAGATAAAAACATTATATGCGACCACCGAACCATTATTTTTTTAAATTGGTTTCTGATATAAAAATAACTTATCACAAATTGCTACGACTTGTATCTTTCTATAGGTAGGTTTAGAAAATAGATTGCTTTAGATAGACGACTAGATAAGTTATTAACAATAGAACCTTAGCCTTAATACCTAATATATTTGTAGAAAAAAAAATATACATCATAGTTCAATAGAGCGGAATGTAAATTTAAACTGTCAAACACCAAGCGGTCACCGGTGACCGCGACCTATTGTTCTTTAATTGTGTCTATAAAACCGGTACTCGACGAGTTAAATAATAAAACGAATTGGGATTGGTCCACTATTTATTATTCTAACACTAATAATACAACTAAAACTAATCTAAAAGTACTATTACTTTAGGTTTAAATTTCTCTGTCACGTCAGTTGATTTTGCCAACTAACACAATAAAAATCTGCTATTTTTTTTATGAAATTCTCGTCTTTCGGTAGTTTTAATAGTCCCAAATTGTTATGGTCATATAGATCAGCTACATTTCAGTGCATAAAGTAATGACGTCACTAAAAAAATGTCACTGGTTACCAAAATTCAATTAATAGAGTCTGAAATTCTCATTTTAAGATGTACAAAAACCTACTCTATAAGAATGTGAATAAAATATAATTTTGCCCACAGGACCACCAGCAACGGATTATTCCTTAGAAGTACGAAGCGTGACGGACACTATCGACTGTCAGTCACAAATGTGTTATGAATACAACATTCCTGGGGTAAGTCAGTTTGTTTATAAATGTACTAGCTTTTCCCGCAGCTTCTTCTGCGTCAATATAACCAATGTCCTTCACTGTACCCCCAACTACATGTATTTGAAATTTCAAGAAGATTAATTGAAGGTAAAGCGTAATGAGGTAGCAGATTTATATTTTCTCATTTACAACTCATTAGTTGTTATATACAAAATTGAATAGTTGCCAGGGTATGAACATAAATCTAATCAGTCCGTCAGTTATTGAAAATATATCAGTTTTTGAAAAATATCAGACACGTATTCTTTTAATTTGTTATATAAGAAAACAATATTTAGATAAAACGAATCAAAGTTTAGGAGTGGGAGGTAGCTACGTCACATGATATTTCAAATTAATATATCGTAGAAAATATTAAATTTTGTAAGAAAAGAAAAAATACGTGTCTAATGTTTGAAATTAATCTACCAGGTGGACATAAAAATAATAAAGTCGTAATAGGGTATTACGATCATAAAGACTGATGGAAGAATCCGAAAGTGAGATAGCAAGGCTATTCTGTAACTTTCAATTCGAACGACCGAATTGAACTCGATCGCGGTCCGTCATCTCATTGGTTGTGAGAATAATCATGACCAATGACGGGCGGGAGTGCGATCGAGCTCACTTCGAAAGTTCCAAATTTTATGAATAGCCTAATAGGTCATATAGATTGTCATATAGATTTAAGCAAGAAAAAATTGGTTTGTTATGTCAAACGTCATGATAACTCAATTTAATGTACTTAGATATTTAGATTGACAAGACACAAAAACAGTGCTTGTAAACAAATTCTTTTTCTTTTTAAAGATTTTCCTGTTAGCGTCCCTAATATAGATAGACCCTTTTATACACCGTGAAATCTATTTCGTTTTCGTCCCGCGTCAAAACAAAACACTTAAAAAACAAATGAAAAAAAACAAAGTTGACATTTTTTAATAAAAAAAAATCATGATAGGCAAAACGTCTAGTGTTTCATGTGCGTAATCATACGAGATGTTATTATTGTAGGTATATACTATTCGCATCACACGTGCCCCCCGACGAGAAATACCTCGTCGAGAATTACATGGCGTGATGTTTTGATAACGCCTTGTGAGTTCGTATGCGCTTACGAAATTAGTTTTTGCAATGGTTCACCAGTAATTTTGTGTTTAAAACATTTTATTTGTTTGTAAAACTGCTATATTACCAAGTAAAAACCATTTTACTTCGGGACGAAAACCAAACATACGTCACGGTGTATAAAGGAAGCTTAGGCTCCCCAATCTCGTTATCAAACTTAGCTAGCTACTGAATTCGGATTTACTGGACTACTTTCAGGACCATATTATTTGTATCAGAGACATTGTAGAACATACTATTTTAAAAAGAGTAACAAATGAAGTTTTTTGCTCGTTCTTCTCCATTCGAATCTACATTTTGGAATGAGCACCTAGCTTCACTGACGGGCTGACTGACAGACTATTAATTATTTTGTATTTGTTGACGTTTCAAAAGTACCAAATAATGGTTTAATTAAAATAAATGCTTTGACTTTGACATAGATTTAAAGCCTCACCGATCAGGCATTGCATTTGTATCATAAATTAAGACATAGGTATAGTTCGCTACTTCTCCTACTATGAATGAATGTTATCTTAAAGACAGATATTAAAAGAAAAAGGATTCCAAAGTTGGTCAACTGCTGAAGGCATAATTCCACATCACCTAAAGATACCCTTTCTTCAACAGCAAATGACATGGTGGGTGATTCCATCAGTCACAAACCCCGTAGATGAGCAGTGTGCCATTCGCCCCGGCTGTGCCTACATGGTGCGACTAATCGCACATCCCTGGGACGGACACACCTCTGCTAATATGCATGTAGAACTAGATGGTAAGTTTTAATGAAGACATTTATTAGCAAATAGAAATGAAATATAGGACTGCGTCTTTGGTTTCAAGTACAATAGCGAGCTTTTTATTGGCGGCAAACGAACAGATGGGTGATCTGAAGGTAAACATACAACACGCCAACACGGTGCTGCCTATGTATGGACAGAAAACACCGCTAATTAGTTCGCAGCGCTACACATCGACATTACTATCATTTACACAATATACATGTGTGGGTAATTTCATAATTATAGATATGTATAGAAACATTCGTCTATCACACACATCTTGGTATTTAAATATCATTTTTGTGTTGGTATACGTAATATTTTAGTAAATAAGTTTAAATAAAAACGAGGGTAAAGATAAAAATAACTTATAACAAACTTTGAATAAATCGAAATCAAATAATGAGTGATCGAGCTATACAATACCCATATAAATATAGTGTTTTCTCATCGTATTTTTATGTTACTGAATTATATACAATATTTCGATGACCTCACCCACAACAATAAAAGACAACCTTTTGAGAATTAAAAAATAGGGATAGGGGGAGAGGAGGATTCCGGTAGAGTAACTTATTTAACGCTGGGTTTTGTGAGGACTATCACTCAGGTCAAGCCGGATTTTTGTCACTTGTTTGACAAATCAGCTTAAGATTAAAAATTCTCATAGCTTTTGGATGTTAGCATTTTTTATATGATGACCGTTAGCGCATTAGTAATCCTAGAGAAACTTAGAATTATTTAATAGGATAAATAACATTTTTTTATGGGATAAACCGATAAACGAGCAGACGGATCACCTGATGATAAGCAATCGGCGTCGCCCATGAGCACCTGGAACATCAGAGGCGTTACAAGTGCGTTATCGGTTTTTTGGGATTAGGAATTTAAGGATTGTTGGGGATTCAGGGATTTGGGAAAGGGGGGAGGGTAATTGGGCATCCGGGAAACATAACACGTCTTTTATCCCCGTAGAGGTAGGTAGAGGTGTACATTACGGTACTTAATTCCACTGTACAATGTAACACCCACATTTCACTATTTATGTTATGAGTCCCATGTAATAGAATAAATACGACCAAAATTTTACTATGAAAAATATTTCTAACCCACCATTTTGTTCCAGAATGCGTGGTAGGAGTATGCTCATGTGCTTACCGTCTCCGACTTCCTGAACCCTCGGTTACTGCTCAGACTGTTACAGTTAAAGGTGAAATGTACGCCAATATAAGCTGGACTCTGCCCAAACCCAGCTTCCCACAAAGACTGCCGTCCCCTAAGCTGGGCAAGAAAAGCTATGTTGTAAGGTAAGAAAATCTATGTTTACCATTAAAAAGTACTTGTAAGAATTAAGGTATCGTATCTAAATATTTAGGAACTTCAGTAACAAAGGTGAAAATATTTTTGTTCATCCACTGCTCCACCATGTAAGGCATACAATAATTTGTGACAACGTATAGATATAAATTGCAGTAGTTGTATACATTATAATATTAAATACTGATTAAATAAACTTTTATTAATTACATTTTGCATCAAAACATAAAATGGCACTACTACAGTTTACGAATCTGTCATACAAAAATGCATGGTGTGGATTGAAACACGATGTAGTGACAAGGATTGAAAAGGGAATGTTACGCTGGTTTGGACATGTAGAAAGGATGGATGAAAGTAGAGTAACGAAAGAAGTATACAGAGCGGATATGAATGGAGCCGTCGGTAGAGGGCGCCCTAGACGGACATATAGTGACCAGATTGGCGATATATTATAGAAGGGCCAAATTAAAAGTACCCTTAACCGACTAGCATGCATGAAAAGATTGATGACTGTTAATGAAGCGAAAGAGGTATGTAAGAATCGTAGTAATTGGCGTTCCTTAGTCTCTGCCTACCCCCATGGGAGACAGGCGTGAAGTTATGTATGTATGTATGTATAATATAGTCTATTTACCAGGAGGTCATTAAATTTTTTCTTAAAATAATCTACCCTGTCAATTTCTCTAGGAGCTCATGGTCTAGGAAGCTTATTATAAATTGTTGAAGACATTCCGAAGAAACCTTTAGAAAGCAGAACTGTTTGCGAGGGTAAATTCGTTGTTTTGACTGCATGCCGGGGGAATGAAGGTTACCAAACCTTTCTCTATTGGTTTTCACAATAAACATAGCTAATTTGTGGATGTATATGACTGCCTCGTTGGCCAAACGGTCGCAAGTCTGCCTGGCAAGGGGTCTCGGGTTCGATTCCCGAGTCGGGCAATATATTACTGGGTTTTTAAAAAAATCTCAGTACTATCACGGAGTATATTCCAATAGGCTCACCCCCGATTACATGGAACTCATAACATAAATAGTGAAAAGTGGGTGTTACATTGTCAAATGGCATAATGTGCAACTCTGCCTACCCCTTCGGAGGTAAAACGCGTGATGGTATGTTATGTTACAAGGAAGGAAATGTTAACATTTTTATTTTTTTTAAATATGGCATGCAGCAATCAGTAATAACCAAAGATACTTTTTAAACACATAATACTCTCCAAAATTGTACCATGGATTAAACCACTCGCCATGAAGAACCCACCTGTTTTACCTTCCAAAACAACAAAGAGAGAGAAAATCCTCAGCCATTGCTTGAAAAAACATATATTTGTATACAAAAAATGTTTTTTCCTTGTAAAAATATACGAAGATCGATCTACTGACGCGACATCTGTCTTTTTCTCACGAACGAAACGATTACATCTCATTGATGACTGAGTAAAATGGATTATTGTGAACAAAAATATTCTATTTTCAAAAGATATGTTACTTTTGTCTTTTTTTTCTTTACGTGGTTGCCTCTTTGAGTGTTAGTGTGGATTAGGTGTGTATTTGTATGTACCTGATGTATATAAAAAAATATTGAGATTTTAATTTTTTAATACAAAGGAAGATCTTACAGCCTCAAAGCCTCTCCTATTCTCAAATTATTCACTATCGTACCCGAGCGTACGGCGCGTCGCGTTCCGCGCGCGCCTCAAAGAGCCATCAGACCACTACAGATGGGGCCCAATAGGGCCGATGCCGATTCGGAGTCGCGGAGAACCTAACGGGTAACCGAGGCTCCGGCTCGACGTGCAGGAGAAGGAACGGGGTGGTTTTTAGTCAGTAAGAGTTTGACACTCCCTTCCGCCTCACCCAGGCGGGAGCAGTTATTCGATGATTTTCCCCCCTTAAAAAAAATCCTATTAGTTATAATAATGTTGTAGATACGAAAGATTATATGTATGTATGTATTTTTCTTTGTTATTCCGTCTCGTCAAAACGGCTGAAGGGGTCGAGGTGAAATTTGGAACAGGAGTAGATAAGGTCTGGAATAACATGTAGGCCAGTTTTTATCCATTGGAACGCGGGCGAAGCCGCCTGCAAAAGGTAGTTTAAAATCTACTATATAAAAATAAGTCGGGTTTTCCTTCCTGACGCTATAACTCCAGAACGCACGAACCGATTTCCACGGTTTGCATTCGTTGAAAAGGTCTAGGGCTCCGTGAGGTTTATAGCAAATTTTCTTCATCTTTTAATCACGAAGATCTTTTAAAACGAAGCTATCTGGTGGCGAAACGGAGTTCGCCGGGTTTGCTAGTAGTGTATAAAAAAGGGAACTTATTGATAAAAATATGGAATGCAATTTAGTTAAGATTTTGGGGGAAGGGGGATATTTTTTCAATCCTATATAGATCGGCAGGCAAAAGTCCTTCGTAGGCCCTTACCTTAAGCCCCCTTTAAGGCCAAAAATACTTTTTGATGGACAATAGGGCTAAACCGAAAAGTGGGTGTTCTGTAAACATACCTCTCGCTCTTTTGAAGATTACTGAGTTATGTCTGTGTGTGTGTATAGAACTTTTTTATCAAAGGCGATGATATCAAAAAAGGCTTTTAGGGAATGAGAATTTTAGTGCCTCGTTGGCCGAGTCGCAAGTGCGACTACCGGGCAAGAGGTCTCGGTTTCAATTCCGAGTCGGGCAACCTCCGGTTCGATTCCCGGGCTGGACAAAGTATTACTGGGATATTTCAAAAAATCTCAGTAGTAGCACGGAGTCTGGAATTGTGCCTGGTATATGGTAATAGGCTCACCTCCTATTATATAGGACTAATAACACAAATAGTGAAAAGTGAGTGTTACATAGTACAGTGGCATTAAGTGCCGTAATGTACACCTCTGTATACCACTTCGAGGATAAAAGGTGTGATGTTATGTGTTATGTTATGTTAGAATTTTAGTACATCGTGTGCCAAGAATAGTTAAAGAAATACATCAAAAGTTAGTTCGTGTGACCTATTTGGTTAGTTTAGCAATTAGGTATTCTAACTTAATAACACATACATAATGTGTTATCCAGTTCAATAGAAGTTGTAATACAAGTATTACAAGTTTGTAAGGATTAGTGTTTAATTAGAGTTAGGTAATTCGTGGACTAAGTTTTAATATAGTGCGATAACAACGCCCAAAATAGACAAATAGGCATTTCTTTCTTTTTCAGTGCTAATATAGGAGATCAGAATGGCAACAAATCGTAGCTCTTTTAAATTTAAAATCCGCGACCATTTATTTATATAATTATACCTTTTCTCCCACAGTCTGGGCAAGCAGATGGTGTCAGACGCTCACCCAGCTCCTTGGTTCGCGAATATGATCGCTCGTACCGTGGACGCCGACGGCCTAGTAGCACAGGGTGACACCACTCATTACCTTCTCCTACCAGCCAGCGAGCTCAGTGCTGAACGCAGCGATGAGCGGAGCGGGGACGATGAACGGAGAAAACGGCCGCGACACTTCCCGCCTAAAGTTAAATTGTTAGCTAGAGTCAGTTTGATAGATGAGAGAGGGTGTAATGGGCCTGCTGGAAACGCTACCGCTTATGGTGAGTCATGATTATTTCTAGATTCTACCTACATTGGTCATTCGCCTTAACTCTTTCAGTGGGTTTCGTAAGAGTCGCCTAATGGGACTTGTATTTAACAATTTTATGTTATACTTATTTCTAAATTATTTTTAGATCCTGCGGTAGCGGCGGCAGCCTCGAGTAAATTTTCTTTTGGAACCTATGTGAGTATTTACAGTTCATGAGATAAATAATTATATTTTTGTGAAGTTAAATCTCATTCTTGCCACATCATCATCATCAGCCTTTATTCGTCCAATTCTGGACATAGGCCTCTCCAATGACACGCCACTGAGCTCGGTCTTCAGCTCTTCTCATCCTACCACTGCCAGCCACCTTGCAGATATCGTCACTCCACCAACTAGCTGCTCTACGTTTTGCCAAGACGCTTGCCACATTTTCCCTTAAAAAAAAAGAAATATAAAGTCTATTCCCTCTTTCGATGAAGAAGAATATGCTGTAGGTAGATATTCCATATTTACCAGAACCTTTTTACATTACCAGGCGATCCTAGGCGCCTTACTTGGTGCTTGGGCGATGGGTGCAGTGTTCGTTCTAAGCGCTCGCGTAGTAAAACGCGTACTGAAGTCATTCCGCCCCGCTCCCGTCTCCGCTCCGCTTGAGCCACTGCGTCGTAGGCCTGCCTGGTTCCCGCTGCAGCTGCGTGGGTAAGTAATAGGATTATAAGTTTTATTACTAATGTTATAAGGTGTATTTATGGTTGTTCTCAAAGGTTTGCGGATTATGTGTCTCGCGATATAATTGTGGATTGATATTTTTATTTATTGTATTTCACAATTTAATTTTTGTATCTTTCTAGGATTCAACTAAGTGCCTACCTACATACATTTTTTGTGTATTACTTACTTGTACAACAAAATAATATACATAGCAGGGAATATATGATTATAAATATCCAAAGAAATGTAAAATACTTATTGTATCTATGCAAATATCATTGCGCGCGTACTTTTCCTGACTTTCGGAAAAATCTTTATGAATTTCATTCGCGAAAAGCCTTACATGTGCAGACCTCATTATTAATTGTTAGGTAAGATGAACCCGTTCTCAACCTTTTTACCTAGAATTTAAATTATCTACCTTACACAAATAAAATATTTTTTAATTTTCTCCTAGATAGCAACCACGTTTAAAAATAAATTCCTTCTATCATTTTCTAAAAAAGATAAGACATTGAGCAACAAATTAACATTTAGGGCACTACCTAATACCTACAACTAAAACAGTAACCTCAACCTTAAAACGAAGAACATAAAGCATAATTTCCCACAACATTTACACTATAATTTTAAACTAGGTAACTTTTGACGCGTGTAACGGACAACTCGAAGGTTTTCCATTAAAAAATAATAATTTATTCAGTTTCAAAGTGATGTGACTAGTTGACCCTTTTTGGGTGAAGTTTGTTCTGTAATATGAAAGCGTATTCATGACGTACAGAAGGTCTATTTTGATAATAAATAAATAATTAGTCTATGCGTATTGTTTAGTTTCATTATAGGTACGTTTTATTAGATAAGTTCACAATAAATTTGTTCTTGTTATAATAACTATCGTGAGATATACTTAATTAGGTAAAAATCGCGGGCAGTGGCGTAATTATGCCCTTCGGGGTCCGTGGCAAATTCATCGAGTGGGCCCTCGTTCCCAATAAAAAACAGAGAAGTTCAGATGAAAACTTCTGAACGGGGTTCCCAGCTAGGGGCCCGTGGCATTTCGCCGGTTTGCCACCCTGTAGTTACGCCACTGATCGTGGGTTACTCACGCGAAAGTACTGATAAGTAAGTAAGTAAGCTCTATTAGTTTCGAACCACAGAGTTGTTCCTGTTTACATAACTTTTACACCGCCATTCCATGCGCCGGCGTTCAAGGAAAGAAGAAGAGACCACAGATAATCTATTGACGTTTGACGTTCCGTGGCTGTCAACGTCAAACGTCACCTGGCTTAAAAGGCTATGTTACACTTTGGTCATAGTGGTATAATAAGACTGCTTTATACTCGTAGATTGTTTCAGAGTCGCAAGAGATAGCTAAGCTATTTTGTAATTGTTTGTTTGAACTTTCGATGTGGGCTCGATCGCGTTCTCGTCCGTCATTGGTCGAGATTATTCTAACAACCAATGACATGGCGGACAGCGATTGAGTACACTTCAATCTTTCGAATTAAAAGTTACAGAATAGTATCGCAGTTCTATTAGACAATAGTCTAGATAATTGATTGTGATAAAAACTTCCAGTAAATTGTATTTGATCTTAGTCGAAAGACAAAAATCCTCATGAAGCTCTTGACTTGAGAAAACAAACGGTAGTGTCAGAAGTTACGGACTAATAAAAAACAACCTCGGTGTCTACGGCGCGTCGCGTTCCGCAGTCGGCTCAAAGAGCCATCATACAACCACAGATGAGGCCCAATAGGGCTGATGCCGATACGGAGCCGCGGAGAACTTAACGGGTTACCAGGGCTCCGGCTCGAAGGGCATGAGTAGGAACGGGGTGGTCACTCCCTCCCTCCCGCCTTAACCAAGCGGGAGAAGGCATTCGATGATTTTCCCCCGCTTAAAAAAAAACGTAACCCAGTGCTGTTCCAATGTCTAACTTTAAAAAAAGTGTCTAGACACTAATAAAATTTAATAATTATTCATACAATATTCATTGTAGCTTGTAGGTATCTAATTGAAGTTTCGAATGACTTAAATCAGAATTAAAATTGTAATTTAGGCTTTGGCAATTACTTGGATATTTATATTCCAACTTCACTAGGTATTTACAATTTCATGACGTCATTAATTTCTGAGCTCTCGTAATATTGTTAACTTAAGTTATTAACTGCCTTAAAGGCAATAAATTAATAAACTATTAAGCTAGGTACCTCATTATCCGGAGCAACTATTTAGAAAGTGCCTTATAAAATATTAATAGCAACGCGCATTGTTACCGGAATGTTTCTGCAAAGCCCACAGGCGCTTCACAAAATACACATCGTGATCGAATTTTAACAAGTTTCAAGAAAAGTTTATCTTGATACGGTAAAATCTCAAATTGGGGTTGAAAGTATAATAATACAGTACAATTTGGAGCGTACTTTTGAATGTATTTAGCTTTACAAACTTGAGAAGGCTTTGTTTACTGTTGTCCCGAATACTGACTTTGTTTTTAATGTTTTCCTTAATTATAACGACACGGGCGATTATTATTCTATTGTTAGCTAAAATTTGAGTTGAATGAGAGGAAAATTAGACTTTAATTCGTTTTATCAAGTCTTCATTTACTTATTGACAGTCATGATTTGGATGTAAAGATGTAAAGTGACACGTTCTTCACGCGTCGACGCGACGTAACAATATCTTCCATCTTATTTCGTCATTTAAAACAGATAAAAGAAAAGTTTTATTAGGTAGGTAGGTACCTATTTAATTAATTATTACCTACTTCAAAGAAAAATTTATGTAAACAATTTTGTCTAGATATTTATTATTTGGCTACTTTTTCTATGTTTAATGTTTTTGAATGGCATCAAAATACTTTTAGACAGAAAATTGCCTCGTTGGCTGAGTGACTTATAACGGACTGGTTAAACGTCCTCGGCTTCGGCCTAACAAAGGTTTGGAAGTCTACTGTAAGGTAGTAAAACTTAAAATGTGACTGTGCAATGAGAGTTTGCATGAAGCCTAAATAAATTACAAGTACATTAAGTAGGCAGAGCTGTAGCTTAGGTATTAATTGCCGTAATGTGCACCACCTATACCCATTTTTCACTAAATATTTATGTTATGACTCGCATGTAATACAGGGTGAGACTATTGCTATATACTGGGTACAATTCCAGACTCTGTGCTACTGTTAATACTGAGATAGTTTTTTGCCCTACTCGAGAATCGAACCCGAAATCCCTTGCCCAGCAGTCGCACTAGCGACCGACAACGAGTCTGTCAAATAAAATTTCAATACCTGCTGGTAATGCTTACAATATTAATGGCCACTACATATACTATATTACAGAAAGGTATTGCTTGTTATTCTTATTATAGGCACCAAAGGCCGGTAACTTAGACTCGTCTGGTGTTGCGGGGTACATGGGCGGCGCTGATCGCTTACCATGAGGTGATCCGTATGCTCGTTTGCCTCCTAGAAAACATAGACAGAGCCATATTTATGTTTATAGAATAGAATAGGCCTATGACTGACTGCCTCGTTGCTCGTTGTCGCAAGTGTGACTGCCGGGCAAGGGGTCTCGGCTTCAATTCCCGGGTCGGGCAAAGTATTATTGGGTTTTTAAAAATCCCAGTAGTAGCACGGAGTCTGGAATTGTGCTCGGTATATGGCAATAGGCTCACCCCCTATTACATGGGACTCATAACATAAATAGTGAACCTCTGCCTACCACTTCGGGGATAAAAGGCGTGATTTTATGTTAATAGGCCTATTTATGGTACAGGGGTTAAACATCAACCATGAGCATACGTTATTCGTAAAGTTAGCAAAGTTACTTCCCTATACGAGACTTAATTAATAAATTAGCGTGCCTTGCGCCACTCGGTTAGCTATAGGCCAAAAATAGCTGCTTATGGTTACCCGAGCGTACGGCGCGTCGCGTTCCGCGCGCGCCTCAAAGAGCCATCAGACCACCACAGGTGGGGCCCAATAGGGCCGATGCCGATTCGGAGTCGCGGAGAACCTAACGGGTAACCGCAGCTCCGGCTCGACGTGCAGGAGAAGGAACGGGGTGGTTTTTAGTCAGTAAGAGTCTGACACTCCCTTCCGCCTCACTCAGGCGGGAGCAGTCATTCGATGATTTTCTCCCCTTAAAAAAAGTATAAGTAGGTAACGCCCGAATATTGAAAGGTTACTTATATATCGTGCCATCTCTTTCATTTTATAAAGAGTTTGTAGAGACAGAACTATACTCAAGCGCGAATTGAAGTGATGTTTGAGTATTTTAGCATAAGGACTACAAATTATACCAAACCCCTCAGTTGGATTAATATATTGGATATTAGACTTTGAAATTCATAATATTAGGCGGTCTAGAATGGTATTTATATTCGTACCTCTATTATAAAGAGAATTTGATATGTAGATATGAAATATTTAGATTAAATAGCCAGTCACCTGCATTTGTGGTTCCAGCTGTTTAAAATTAACAGATTGAACGACTTTTGATATCAACTAAATATGTCTCTAAACACCAGAAATGAACCAATCAAAATTACACTTCTTAAAAACTTCATAAAAGTCTCCCATCTAAATGCTGACCGCGTGAAGGTTAACTTAACCTCGAAAGTTGTGTACAGCTCCAGAATTGTTGACAAAACAATTTTATCAAACCTCCTTTCTCGGATCTCAATTACCATAATTAAGTTTCATTACGAAAATCTTAAGTTACTTAAAAATTTCGCTGATTGTCAAGTTATTCAATGGTTGTGGAAATTAAGTAACGTTTTTGTGTCGATTTCTTGTGGTTGTTTGTTGGTAACTGACAGAAAGGCTGTGCTTTATACCGGTCATAATTTCACACTTAGTGACTCCATTTTTTAAATTACAAATAAGCATTTTGTCCGTCCAGAGAAACGGGTCTAGTAAAACTAAGTGGGTAGCTACTGTTTTGAGCCGTTTGGGTCTGAAACACCTGGCCATGGGGTCCCAGTGCCACT